GGGGGGGGGGGGGGAGGAGGGGGTGAGCAAACACATGGGGCGGTGAAGAACACCACGTGCACCATACCTGGTGGGGGGACGTCCCAAGACAGTAGTGGTGGTGTTGTATCGACGCAGAGGGATGGCTCCTGGTCCAGAAAGGCTTAAGCCCGGCGTCTGCTCGGTCTCTGGTATGGAAGTTCGTATTTTGTCATTTCGCCGCGTGCGACATCCCGAGAGAAACTTATGTACACCGAGCAGCACATGGTCCACTCGTGTGGTTCATACAGGGGGTAATTTTGATTAATCATAAGCCAAGAGGGAGCGTAGTTCACCCTCTGCTGTCGGCCGTTGTACAGATCAGCCGTTTCAAACGAATCCTCACGGCCAAAACCTCCCCGACAACTACTAAAATCCAACAACAAAGCAAAACAACATGAGCTCACCTTAGGATAGAGGTGGGTCAGGTAGCGCTGGAGGATCTGCTTGCCGACGCTACCGGATGCGCGGGCTTGCGCTTCCTCGTCCCACTTGCCCAGGCCCTTGCTCTTGCTGCCGCTTTGGAGGTGGTGGCCGCCGCCGGCGGAAGACGCCGCCGCCGTCGCCGCCGCCGCCGCGTGACCATCGTCAGCAACCACGGGAGGGTTCCACGGTCTCCTTCGCCATGACGGTGACGGCGGCGATGTCGAGAGAGGCGCCGCCGCTTGCTGGTACGACTGCTGCTGCTGCTGCTGCTGACGAGCGAAGTGCTGCTGCTCGTGCCCGTGCCGGAAGGAGGGCGACGGGGTCCGAGAAGAGGATGACCACGATGGCGACGACGAGGGCGCGGCTGTCATGTCGGAGGGGTGCTGGGGCACACCCTGCACGTGTTTTCGGATCGTCGCAAGAACATATACGGGGCGAATTGTTAGGGCGTGGGTGCATGCATCATGCGCAGCACAGAGAGACAAGCATCGCGCTGGTATGCTGGTGCATGGATGCAGGGAGCTGCGGCGGTTCATTTTTCTTTCTTGGCAATTGCCCCGAGTATCCACCTAACGATAGAATCGCCTTCTCGACAACGCATTCTTCGAAGTACAGCCAAGTACAGGCAGTCAGTCCATGGATTGTCCACAAAAAAAATCGTCCGAATCACCTTCGCTGCAACTGTTCGGGATGGGGTTTTCCCAAAACCTGCTCTCGAGGGAACCACAAAAGATAAGTTGGTCACCGCAACACTGACCTTGCAAATTCATCGCAAATCTAACGCGGACTCTCAATCTGTGGGACGAGATCGATTCGTTATGTTCATCGTACGTATGCATATGCACAAGAAAAAACTCTGGACCTAATAGCTATCCTCTCTGCCCCTTCGCCAAGCACCAGAATAGCAATGACCTACAAGCCGAGTTCGAGATCTTGCACACAAGCACGTCGTAAAACAGCAGTATTGTCGCGGGCCCGCATATGAACCGATCACCCCAATCATTCACAGCCGCGTTTCTTCGGGTCAACTCCTGCTTGACGTGAAAGGGTGAAAAACGGATGTAACACTTTCGCAAACACTACCCGCTGCCGCGGATGTACATGTGCATATGCATTCAGCAGTACTGGTATCGGGTATAATCGCGAACGAAGACAGACTAAGGCCATAGCAGCAAACCGAAGGTTCAAGGCGGCGGAGGTGTATCTATGCATGTGCATACCAATCTACTGCTGTCGGTACATGTATCTTGTGCATTTGTGTCCATGCATTAGACGACTGAATGCGTAAGGCGGGCGGTGGCATACATACGCGGAGTACTCGACATTTTGTGCAAATTCCATTACGTGACGTGAATTTGTACAGTCATACTGCTGTACCGTACAACTACAGGTAAATTTACGAATAGAAAGAAAAGGTCGATCACACAACCAAATGCGCATCCTCCGCTCCTGGTTTCGGCGAAAACAATGGCTAATAGGAAAGACGGGGTACACACACCACCTAGGCTGTGCATCCAATCCAGCCTTGTACTGACTGCTGTATTTATGAAGCATTCGTTGAAGTGAACGTGTGGTGGTGCTGCTGCGCTGTGCACGGCATTATGCGCACACATAATGGTGCATGTAATTTTTTCTTGCAAAGTGAGTTTTTCTCTCGCTTCCGCTTCTGGCCTAGTGGATAGCGCTAGTTCGTGTGTACACAGAGTGAAGAGAGTGCTGAACTCTTCTCGCAGTAAAAATCGAAGGCAAAGTACCGCAGGAGGGGAGGGTAGAGAGGGGCTCTTCTGTGTGACCACGGGAAGGAGTAAACGGCACTACTAATAGTGCTGTGGGCGCTGATTTGAAGTGAAGACAAAAAAAAAATGCATTTTTGTGCTGACATGCGCGATGACATTATTCTCAGCTAATGAATATGGCACCTGTCGTTTTCGACAACCAGGGCATGCGTTCGTTCGGTATGCAGCCATTTTCTTGTGGGAGATATGCCCTGCAGTGCTATCTAGCGAAGAGGGTGTCATGAAGCGCGACAAAAACACTCCCCCATCAAGTCTCGGGCAGTCAGCAGTAGTTCATAAATACATGGTACTAGTTGTGACTCTGTTGCTGTATACAGCAGTATACAACGCTGGTGCTCGGAGAATACTCTGGCAGAGGTTTATTCCATGACGATTTTCCTGTGGATGCGTACAAGTACACACCGCCCAAAGCAAGCAGGTGACACCCATTTCGGATGAACAAAAAAAATAGCTCCCACTTCCAGACAAGAGAAACGTCAACAACCGCGCATGTATGCAGCAGACAGACAGACAGACAGAGAGAGCGGAGACTCGAAAAATAAGAAGCGAATCGGGTGTGTGGGTGGTGAGGTGAGCCCCTGGGTTATTTTTCGCGCATACAATACATACAATACATGCACACAGGCGACACGAACGAACCCTTCAACCCCCGCAAGAACGAAAGAAAGTTTTCGGATGTATGCTACTTATAGAAGTACATTCTGTGGTGGAAAAAAAAGTCTCCGCTATGAAGCAACCGATCGGGGAAAAAAAAATGTGTCACCTTCGCTTGCTGCTGCTGCTGCCGCTGCGGAGGCTGCCATTCGTCGCGGCCGCCGCTGTACTCCTGCGCCCATGCTCCGCGGTGTGTGGGCCCCGTCCAGGAGGCGTGACCGGCTGAAGAACTCGAAACGTTCGGGTTCGAGTTGTACGGAACGGTGGTCTGCTGGTCCCCTGCAGGCTTGGGCCAGGAAGTCGCCGCACCACCAGTAGCAGGAGCGCTGCCGGAGGGCGCTGCTGATGAAGATACCTCCGCCGATTCCCACCTCCTAGAGACCGGGCTCATGCTGCCGTTGCTGCTGCTGCTGTCGCTGCTGCTGCTGCTGCTCAAGGCCCCTATCCTAGGCACGTGGCGGCGGAGCTCGCCGGTGCCGCTGCTGCTGCCGCTGTGCAACCAACGTTGTTCCTGGTGGTTGACCGGTTCAGCGCAAGAAGAAGAAATTCCCGCTGCCGATTGCTGAGGCGGAGGAAGTTTGTACCGAACATCACGCCGGTGAATGTTGATACTCGAAGAAGTGGGCGGAGAGTTGGACCGCGAGCCGGGCGGGGAGCACGACGGCGACGACGACGATGATGAGGATGACGACCCACGCTGTGCCGTCGTTGTAGCTGGCGGTGCCCTGGCTGCAGAGGGCGCCAGAGGTGGCAGAGAAAGAGGCAGTTGCATCGGTTTCGCCAAAACCGCCGCACCAGCTGCAGACAGCAGTGCTGATGATGTTGTTGTGGAACGTCGTTGCTGGTGGGGGGGGTGGTGGTGGCGTGACGACCGTTGTTGTTGTTGTTGTTGTTGCAGTTGCTCGTTTTCGTCGTTTTGGCGCTGCTGCTGCTGGGGAGAGGGATGGTGCGAGGAGGAGAGAAGCGTCCCCAGCGCAGCTAGCCGTGGTAGCTGGCGTTGCTTGTGCTGCTGCTGCTGAGGCCCAGCCGTGGTTGCTGCTGCTGCTGCTGCTGTAAGGTTTGCGCCGCTGGTGTCGAAATTTCCTCCAGAGGAGACCGGTAGCCAGCGGGGCGGAGAAGAGGCAGATTTTTTCTGCTGTTCGATTATTCGAGGGCGCTGGGACGGTGGGAGACAGAACGATTCGGATGGCTCGGCCGCACGCTTGTAGCTGGCCGCTGCCGCTGCCGCCGCCGCCGATCTGTAGCTCGAGGTGGAGTCCTCGGAGGCGGACGATGTTTCCCCATCGTCGTCGTTAGAAAGGTCGGCAGCGGCTGCCGCAGATGGTGTGCAGAACCTGCCATTGTGTTTTTGGACATGAACAAAAATTATGTGCGCCCACACACACATACACAAGGATATTTTCCGGAAAACGGCTTGTGTTCGTCTCTTGTGGCGGTTCTGTTGTTTGTTGTCGTTTGCCCTCTTCGGCAAATAAAGATTAAGATTATCGTCAAAAACTCCACACGTAAGGGCCGTGGTTGGCCGATAGCATAGCGCACCGCACCATGCCTCTCTCGCTCAGTTCGGGTCATCATCATCATTATCAGCGTGCGTGCAAGACACGACACGAGGGAGCAAAGGGGCCGTCTAGCAGAGGTACGCATCCCTCAAGTGCAGGGTCCGTCTGTCTACATCAAAGAGAATACATGTCACCACCACGCAGCCGAACAATGCAAAATGCCAAAGTCTGTGAAGATCTCGGAAAAAAAACAACTCACCGTTCGCGGCGGAGAAGGGGGGCCGATGATGAGGGTGCCGATGCTGCGCTGCCTCGCAACGCCAGGTGATGATGGTGACGAGCAGAAGACCCCCCCCGGTGCTGGGCGTCGCGCTGCATGCCGCGGAAGTCTTGCGGTTGCTCCTGCTGGTTGTTGTCCATCGGGTGCGCGAGTAAATAGAGGCACGATTGGCTCTTTTCGTCTAAGTCTCTCTCAGTCAAACAGGATACGAAAGTAGAACGTACATGTCGACCGCCAGCTTGTTGCGCGCAACAAAGGCAGCGAGGCACGACGCGCTTCTATTATCCATGGTGGCGCAGAGGATAGCTGACTGCTGCTACTACTACCTACCGTCGGTGGACGGGGCGAGCATGCCGCGACCGTTGTTGCTTACCGGCAGCTGCTGCTGGGAGCGGTGGCCGAAGCCCCCTCGTCCTTGGTCAAAGAAAGAAGTCGACATGGCTGCAGTCTGTCGTATGCGATCGATGTTGTCGTGGAAAGAGAGGAGAGGCGGAGACTTGCTGAAGAGAAGTGGTAGCGCACGGGAATTTGACGCAGTTCGTTCGCTCGTCCCAGGCGCTGCTGACTGACTGCTGCGGCGTGTGCCTCCCTCCTGCGCGTCTCGTATAGGCTTGTTCTCCTGCCGCCCTTTGCGTCCCGTCCTGGTGGTTGTCTGTGGAGCAAAAGAAGAAGTAGCTAGCTGCGTGTGTGTGTGTGTCAGGTGAGAGTAAGTAGAGGTGGAAAACCGGGCAGGTGGCAGCAAAAGTGAAGGTTTCCGTTCTCTCTGTATTATATGTGCGCTTCTCTCTCGGGAACATTCGTTGTGTGGATACCGCTGCCCTCAGTGAACTTTCTTTCGCCCACCGACGGAGAAACATTTCCGTCTCTCGCTGGCACTGCTTGTAGACATGTTGGACCGAGAGGAGAAAGCTCAGATGAGGTTTTGCGACACGCATTTTGTGTTTTGGCGTATCGTGCCGCCGCGCGTTGTTCTCGCCTTCCCCGGCCACCATGATCCCAAGGGTACCTCGAGAGGAAATTGCTGGTGTGTCCACCCCCCGTGTGCTGCGATGGCCCGTGGGACATGGATGTATAACAGCACAGCAACGTCATCACATGCGCGTGCATGCACACACACGGATAACAGCCGAAAGGGGATACCATGTGCGCGACAAAGATCCAAGGATTTTATTACTTGCCGTGTTTTTTTAGATGATTTTGGTGTTGTTGGGAAAATAATTATATCCATCGTTTGTATTGTCCTGATGAAGATGATGCATACCGTTCGAACTCGGGGTATATCTCTCGGTGGTGCAGGATGGGTACCCGATACAGGGCGTGCGAGTCGGACTTTTTGCAACCTGTGCATAGGCGACGGCTCATGATGCAGGCAGCACTACAATGCCGTGCTCGGAGGTTTTTCAACGAATATGAAATGACGAGTCTCCGATCGCTGTGTGTGTATCAGCTGCTCTGGGTGACTGTCTCTTTATTCAACATAACTGGGTGCCTCTAATTCGCAGTTTCCCTGTCTGCATGGAAAACCAAAAAACAAACACAGATGATGTAAAAATGTCGTTGCGTGGTGGTTCTTCCGCCGGTCGCACAAGGTTTTACATATACTCTTCTTCTCTCCGTTCGCCGTCCTCATATCAAGCACTCGCTGGGATGTCACCCACCGTAGATGGTAGTAGGTGGATGACATGAGAGCGGATATCGAAGAGAGATGGTACTATGCATACATAGTCTAGACGATGCTGACGACACAACGACAATATACTACGCAGTTTGTTGTGTTTCTTACATGTCAGATCCGAGAGAGATATGTTCCTCCTGAACCCAGAACAAGTTCTGTGTGGTGTGGTGCTGTTGCGCATACAACCAATTAGATTCTTGCGCATACAACCAATTAGATTCTGTACATACATACTTTTGCCCTGCAGGACAGCTGCAACAGGTTCTGTCGACACGTAGCACTGGCGGCACTACTGACGGGCACCACGATTCTTTCACAGCACATGTATCCCCGTGGGTGTATACTTCTTCTACCGTGAGATAGATGACCTTTGGCATGCGAGGAACACAAGATGATGTCAAGGACAGCTGTGGTGTCCAACTTCAAGGTCCCACAAACGGCGGGTGTAATGGATTTATTTGTTTTCTGGCAAGCAACCAACCTTGTACTGCACTTGTGTTGGTCGTCTGGTTGTTGTGCAGCAGTACGCAGAGAGAGAAGACGTGAAGAAACAATGGGGGATGCATCCGCATTCGGTCGGGGGTATACCAGAATTCAAGTTATGGATACAACAGAATACACGTGGAACGCGCCGCCACTGTTTTTGTTGTCATATTTTCATGCAACATTCAGAACACGCCCAACACCCTACCACATACTTTCTTGCCGCTTGTCTCTAAAGCAGTATTTATTAAGGAATATATAATAACACACACAGAAAGACTATCCATTCGAGATGTACCCACAGTCGTTCCCTCGCCACCCGCCGACAAAACGAGACAGATATATATTCATAGATGGTAGGCAGATGCACAAGATGGTCATAATGGATGCATACCTATGGCATACGATTGCCCGAGCAGCATGCAGCGATATCTCCCCTGTGCGTTCACAGGCTCATCAACCAAGTTGGCCATTGTCCTGAAATTCATTGCCACGGCATATTTATCCCGGAGTCTTTTCTGTAGAATCCGGATATAAAGAAAAATAAATACACACGCAGAAAAAAACACTATCCATTCGAGATATAGATGAATTCGTCATGTGAGAAAAAAACACGCTATGTATAATATGTGCGCTACACACGTGTAGCATACATACATACGATACTTTGCACTTCTTCTATTTTTTTCTGGTGAACTGAAGACCGCGCCGACGTCGCCCGAATGAGACAAGAGGAGCGACAGAGGGAAAAAGTATGGTTTCAGCTTGCATTTCACTACTAAAGCGCATAGTAGAAGTAAAACTTGCTGCCTGGTACTCTGACCTTTAAAGGAAGTACAAAACAACAACGTTCATTCACTATTTTTTTTTAATAGCCTAGTCAATGTCGCCGTTCCCACACACACACACACACCACACGTCTCTCGGTACCACGTTTGTTTGTATGTTACCTGTGTATGTCTTCGCACAACTTGATACCCATTCCATCGAACAACAATCAACAAGAGATTTGAACTCTCAGGCCTATACTTCTGACTGGTCGTCCTTTTTCAACGAAGATCCCAAAAAAGAATCCAAGTGCTGCATTCGTCAGTGATGGGTTCGGAGAGACCCAGACTATGTAGACTACTTCTATTAATAATCCTCAACTAAACCAAATGCAAGCTCCACAACAATTTCGAAAGCACGCCCGTTTCCCTCTTGCACAAGGCTCCGGATGGATAGCAGCACTCACTCCCACAAACGACTTGGCCGTCAAGCACGACAAAGAACGCCACAACTTGTACTTTTCATCCAAACAAAATTGACACACACCCAACCATCTTACCATGCCTGGCTCAGAGACACGACAACACTCGAGCCTAGAGTCGCCGTCTCTACCCTTGCGGCGCAGGAACGCAAGGAAGATCGTCAGCACAGCGAAGGTCAAAGCTCGTCTCTTCGGCTTCCGTGACCGTTCGTTGACGTCTCCCCCCCCCCTCCCCCTCGTTTGCTTCCTAAGCTCTCGCGCAGCCGCATGCGAACGGCATCGAGACCGCCTGATCCCTGGCTACTCCCACGCCCGCTGCTCCCAACCGCAGGAGTAGCACCACCACCACCACCGTCGCCCCCAACTCCCGAAGAGGGTTCCTCAGCGGGGTTTCCAATCGTCCCGTCGGCGTTCTCTCTGCCGGTCTCTGAGTCGGGCGGTGAACCGTCACCCTCTAGCTCTAGCTGATCGCTAGTTTCGCCGCCTTGCTGGTGGCGCTGCTGCTTCCTCCTCGCCGCACCTTCCATGATTTTTTTTCTGGAGCGACAGAAACAAGTAGAGGGGGTGGGTTAGCGGGGGGAGGAGAAACACACGAGGGGGGGGGGGTACTCATAGTCGTGCATGCCGCAGTCGTTAGACCATTGACCTCGCATCCCTACAAAGCCGGGACGGACCACGCCGGGTTCTCACCGGACCAGGCTCTCACATCACCAAGCGCAAAGCACCGTGAAGTATTCGGCGAGTCGCATGAAGGGTGCGCTGCATCCTGCTAAGGGTGTTCGGCATCTTGTACTTACTTCCTTACGGATGGCAGCTGCGTATGACTAAGTTTATTGTCTGGTGTTTTCACTTCCAGAGACAGTTGGTTGTAAGCACTGTGTAACTGCCTCGAGGGTGCTTGACCAATTTAACACAACGTGGTGCGATCATCCCGTTTGCGCGGAGTGAGGGTTCTCGACCCCGCACAACACAATCTACTCGACCACCATCATGGTTACCGCAAAAACAAACAGAGGCAAAAAATAGCAGTAACCTGGTTGTCGAGCTCACGAAGTGATCGGCTTGTTTTACAACGTCGCTGCCAAGCGACGAAAACCCAACCCCGATGGCAAACACAACGGGGGGCGCGTGGTTGCTTGTCTTTAATGTATTTGGCCTCTTGCCACCCATCACTTTTTCGAGAGACATCACCGCTCCTTCTCCTGACACAAGCGGTACCAACAGTCGGGAGCCCCATGCGTGTTTTGCGCAAAAAATTCTTGCACGTCTTCTCGATTCTTTCTTGGCATTGGGTGGCCACGATCTAGCCTACAATACGCTAGCCCTACGATGCGGCAAGTTGAACTTGAGGCGACCAACACTTGAGATTAATCCTTTCTCGGCGAGAGTACAAAAACATCACGCTCGGCTAGAGCCAAGACCTCGATCACATCGCGATATTGCCGCGCAGCCCCGCACGTTTCACATGACAGGGGTCGTTCGTTTCGCTGCAGGTCTGCGGCCAAGGCATGCTGGAAATCCGATCGTCGTCAACCTTCCCAACACAAAGGGCGTCACCAATCTCTTCGAAACCCTTCTTTGTTTTACTTTGTTTTAACTCAGAGGCTTGTTTCTTAGTCTTTCTCTATGGGGGCACCTCACACTGATGAATAATAGGTGTTAGCTGTAGGGGTTCTCAACTAAGCAGCTGTTCTGATGGTCAAGCTCTGACTTCGAAATAGCTCGTTTCGAGCTAAAGTCGTTAACTCCAACGTTCCGAAGTGGTGGGTGGCGCGTGCTGTAGTAGTTGGGCAGGGTTGGAGCTTACGAGATAACGTTCGGCAGGTTGACTGCTAGCCTGCCTCACAACCAACCAATCAAAGGCAGGGGTGAAACCGAATCCCCGAGCCAGCCCAATGTTACGAACGAGAGCACAGCATCCACATAAATATGTTCGCAAAAAAAAAAAAACTCACGCTTGGCGTTGCCGGTACTTTTCCTTCTCCTCAGAGACCAGCCGCTGCCCGGCGTTCTGGCTGGCCAAGCTGTCCGCCGCGCGGCGTGCGTTTTGTTCGTACGCCAACCTCGCCTCTTCCGCCCTTCGACGCCCGGCCTGATGATTTTACGGGCAGGACGAACGAAAACAAAGGTGAGACGTGGACACAAAAAGCGGAGGAGAAGCAGTTTGCCGTTGTATTCATCGCTTGCGTCTGTTTCGTTAGGACTCGGCTAGCTGCGGTGTTCCTCCCTGGCAGAGAATGACTTAGCGTAGCGTCTCTTTATCTCGCATCGACCGCGTTAACCTGCTGACCAATCATAAGTCAGTCCTCCGAAATAGCGGGCAAAAAAAAGAATCGAACACGGGAACACGCGGTACAATCAGCGCCCCCCCCCGCAATGGTCTAACCGCTAAGGAATGCAAAACATAAGAGTACGCCCCCCCCCCCCCCCGGGGGGGGGGGGACTCCTAAGGGTGGATGGCCTAATCCTTTAAAACATTGACCTCCCATCCCTACAAAACCCGGACAGCATCAAGTGTGTCGTTGTGATTTTGGCACCAACTTCCGTTCCGATCGAGAGCGAAATCGTGATGAAAGAACAAACGAAATTTCCCTACCGCAGAAGAAAGAAGGATACAAAGGCCGCGTGCGGCGACAAAACAAAATATCAACGTCGTCGAGGTGGTTTCGAGAAAAATACGAAGAAGAAAGACGACCCTGTCTGCACCAATTCGGACACACCCCCGAAGGCGACTTTTATGAATAAATACTGCCAAGTCGCGAAGCAAAAAAATACAAAAAATTAAAATTCCGACCTCTTGAGAGTCCACAGAAGAATCTGGTAGAGCCGCGGCATCATCGCCTCCTTTGTCCGCTTCTTCGGCCACCTCAGCGGCAGGACCCCCGGCACGGTCGACTTGTCCACCTCCACTCCGCTCATCGTTGTCATCATCCGTGGGGGTGTTATCATCCGTGGCGGTGTTGTCATCCGTGGGGGTGTTATCATCCGTGGCGGTGTTGTCATCCGTGGCGGTGTTAACATCCGTGGCGGTTTCGCCTCCGGCTGAACCGGGAGCCCTAGCCTGTAAGGCCGCCTCCGCCTCCGCCTCCTCCTCGTCCCGCTGCCGTACTTGCGCCTCCTCCCTGACCTTTCCCGCGGCCGCCATGGCTTTGCGTTCGCTCGCTGCCTGCAGCATTTTCTCGCTGGAGGTTGTTGGTCCGCGAGAGTAGAGCACGCCGATGATAGTGGGGGGAGAAAAACGGAGGTCAAAACACCTAACGCAAGGGTATGCATACGTATCGCAAGAAAAACTACTTCCAGGGTAGTCGACCCTGTGGTTCAGTTTTGTGATCTTGAAACCGTCAGACTATCTGTCTCTCAGTCTCTGCCTGTCAGCCTTTCTGTCTGCCTGTCTCTGTCTCTGTCTTCTCTGTCTTTGTCTCTGTCTCTCTGTCTCTCTCTGTCTGTGTGAGTGTCTCTGGGTTGTGGGTTCGAATCTCGCAATCTACCTCGAGGGTAAGCGCCACAAAGAGGGAAGGAACTTTTCCGACGTTAAAAAATTGGTTGCAAGCACCGACCGCGGCAAAAACAAAACAAAAAATCCAGCGCTTGTGCATCCAACATGTACCGAAGGTGAAGGCTGGTATCCAGAATAGGCGACATCAACACACATACACACAATAGGTAGGCAATTCCGGCTACACACTTGCTCATCAGAGCTGGACCTTGATCCAAGGGCGATAGTAAGACTCCGTGGGTTTTGATGTTTTCCTAGACGAAAAAACAGGGGGGAGGGGGGGGGGGGGGGTCAGCACGCACGCTTGTTGTTGCTGGTGCTTCTCCTTTTCCTCCGCCACAAGACGGAGCCCGGCGTTTGTGCTCTTCAGGTTCTCGGTCTCGCGCCTAGACCGTTCCTCGTACGCCTGATTCGCCCTTCGTCGGTGCTCCTCCTGGTGGGGGGGTTACGCGGAGTGCGGGGGGGTACTCATGTTTTGCATGCCCTTGTTGTCAGACCATGGACCACGCGCCCTCGAGAGCATTGTTCTCGCAGGACCGATCACCGAGGGCCAATGGTTCCTTCCTACTTTACCAACGGTGGCTCAAAAATGTTGTACGGGGAGGGAGGCGGGTGGAAAAGCACCAGTGCAAAGCGAGCGAGCACGATACGGCCAGACGCCTGGGTGGGAAAGTGTGTTCGATGCTCGGCAGCCAAACAACATGTTCCGAATAATCGGACGTTTGCCGTCTGCAAAACATTTGCAGAGTCGATGACCTTTCACAGTTCCGGGAACGAAAAAATGATTGCTCTTGGAGCCAAGCATTTGTAGGGCTTGCCAAAATCAACACGGACAACAACCATATTTTTAACGAAAACATTACACACCGCTGTGATGGATAACTCAACCACACCGTTTGCAAGTGCGTTGTCATAGCCAGATAGCAGGCGACAAACCGACAACGTTCGTAGTCGACAGCAGAGAAGCGAAACCGACAACGTTCCTAGTCGACAGCAGAGAAGCGCTTTCTCATCGCTAGCCAAGTGTTATTGTCACAACAACAACCATACTGACTTCTATTCAGCACCTTCTCCGTACGTTTGTTTCAACGTACTTGTAGTAGATATCTCCGGATTGTCGACGGAACATGGACACGCAGAACGGCAAAAACAACGTAAGAAAAAGGATGGCACACACAAAGCGGATAGAAAATTGAATGCCTACAACATTTCCACCACACTTACCGCCGGGTCAAGCACGGGCTGTGCGGGAGAGGCCTCTGCCTCTTCGACCGCGGGCACAGTTTTATCCGAAGTGTCAGCAGCAGCAGCAGCAGCAGCAGCAGCAGCAGCAGCAGCAGCAGCATGTTCGCCTGGAGGGGAAGCTGTGCAACCTCCGGCAGTACCAGCATAATCTTCGTCAGGAGGGGGGACTGTGCAACTTCCGGCAGCACCAGCAGCACCAGCACCAGCATCAGCAGCATGTTCGTCGGAAGGAGGCGCGGTGCAACTTCCGGCAGCAGCCGTAGCATCTCCATCTTCATCAGGAGGAGGAGGAGCACTGCAGCTACCCAAAGCCACCGCACCGCCACTGCTGTCCTCACCAGAAGCGGGAGGGGGAGCACTGCAGCTCCCAGCCTGCGTGACGACCTGCCCCTCCTCCGCTCCCTCTTCCTGACGGTGTTGCGGAACAGAGTCGGTCCCCGCCTCCAGTGTTTCCTGCTGGGAATTCTTCTTCATTGCCGCTTTTCTGTCTCTATTGGCGGCCATCATCCTCTCCCTGCGATGTGGGTGAAAGGACACAGGGGTGTTGCAGGCGGCGAGGCCGGGGGGCGGGGTCTCGAGGCGTCATCAGCTCGTACGCGTTGTCGCGACACCTGCTGCTGCTGCTGCTGCTGCTGCTGTCGTAACAAACTGCACCAATCATCCCCTCTTTTCACCACACCAAACAATGGAAGATACCGTCCGTTGTGCCTCTGTGTGCCTCGATTGGGTGCTGGCTACACTAAGTGGCCGAAGCAGGATAAGCCAAGGAGGCCAGCATCAGTACCGTTGTAGAGACCTCGCCGAAATCATTTGATTGCGGCATCCTCCTTGTCGTGGAGTACAATCGGGTGTGGTGTGGTACCTACCGTGCACGACCGTACTACTGCTGTACCAGGTGACAAGGCGGTGTGGCCAACCTGCCGTAGTCGACATACTAAATACTAAAACCAGTACCATAGGAGCCACTACACTAAACGCTATACACTTGGGGGGCACGCAAACTCACGCCTGGCGGTGACGAAACGCCTCTTTCTCCTCCCTGGCGACGCGGTGGGCAGCGTTGTCGCCTTCGTGCCTTCCGCGGGCACGTCGCGCGGTTTCACGGTACGCCTCTTGCGCACGGCGCTGGATCTCCTCCGCTGTTGCGGCTCCCGCTGCTGTTGCTGCGGCGTCGTGCTGCCATCACGGACAAGCCAACAGTTTTTTCGCAGCGGGGGATGGGAGAATCACGTTCAGATGTATTGATGGCTTCGGTCGGCACGTTGTTGGGGGCTGAGGAACGTTTTCCTGCTGCTGCCTCCTACCGGGTGTTCCAGCATTCCAAACAGAGAGAGAGAGAGAGAGAGAGAGAGAGAGAGAGAGAGAGAGAGAGAGATAAGGTTTACCAGTCCTTGTCTTTGCCAAAATCTATACGCCTGGTTGTAGAAGAAGAAATCGATGCCGGGCCGGTGTTACGGCTGTGGTCGTGGTGGTGCTCGACAACTGTATCAGTAGCCAAGCACGTGACGCGGCAGCTCACGAGGAAAGCGCACGGCTTTGGGGGCCCAAATGCTTTGACAAACAACGACGATGACAACAACAACTAGCTACCTCCGAGGGGATGCGTTCCCTCGGCTCCGCCGCCTGAGCAAACGCTGAGGTGCGGGCGGCGACGAAAGGCCCCCTTCTCTTCTCGAACGGCACGATCACGAGGAAGTAGGTTGCGAAGAAGGTCACCACCACCTGCGGGGGGGAGGGGACGCCCGTTTTACTCTCACCATCACTGACATAGCCAATCCGTGAACGAGACGAAAGGGTCGCTACGGATGCGGGCAGGGGAGTGGCAGGCGATTACTTGCCGCTCTTCTCGGGAGTTATTCAAAATATGAAACCTCCAGGGCGAGGTCAAGCCGCCTGCCTAATCGTGTAGATCCGCCTTCTAGCACAGAACCAGGCGCTCTTTTCGCGCCATGAGTTGCAGCAGAACTGTAGTGTACCCTTTCGTGTCTGCTGCGGCACTCTGGCGGGGACGGGGTGGAGGTTTGTGAGGGTGCAGTACACGGAGGGCTGCACGACAAGGTATGACGCTGAAGATGGAGACGACGATGACGACGACGACAACGACAACGACAACAACAATAATAGCAGCAGCAACAACAACAACAACGCCAAAGCCAACAGTTACAACAAGAACAACACCAACAGTTACAACACAGCAACAGCAACATCAACAACAGTCGCAACACCAGCATGGCTAGATCAACCACCTCTGCGTTAGCCACTGCATCTGCATATCGCCGCCCTCCCCCCCCCCCTTCTTCTCCTCCCGAGTCGTTCGTACGTTCAGGGATCCCCCTTAGTCTCACCGTGATCATCATGCACCATGACGCGAACATGGCGGCCCGTTTCTTGCGCAGCCGCTCCGACACCCGAGCGTTCTCCCTCTTCACCCGGTCTACGTTCTGGGTGGCGGCATCGCCCGTGTCTTCAAGCACCTGAAAAAGGTTGTGGAATGCAAAAAGGAAGGAAAACGCCGGGTTGTTCCGCAGGGCACATGAACGGGCGATCTTTTCATAACAACACATAAAACAAAAACGTGTGTGGGGCGAGAAGTCTCGCACGTCACTATTAATTGCTAAGGTTACTGTTTGCGAAAAAGGAGGTTGTTTTGCTTTTAAGGTTATCATCTGTCACACGATATATTTTTATTTGTGTTGTTAAGCCCAACCGTTGTTGCGCTCTGGGTGTGCCACGCCACCAAAATTCCTGCTTCGGTTGAGGAACAAGCTTTCGGGTCGAACATGTGGACGTGATGCGGCCGCAAAACCGTCAAACCTTGCCGCGTGGGTGGGCCTTCCCCTAAAGTACAGGGCGCATCTTCGTGGACCGTAAGAAGAAACCAAGCTTAAAAAGGGTGTGATGATCAACCGATCTTGATCTTGACTGATCTCGAAAACGCCCGAAAGAGCACCTCAGCAAGAAGAAACCAAGCTTAAAAAGGGTGTGATGATCAACCGATCTTGATCTTGACTGATCTCGAAAACGCCCGAAAGAGCACCTCAGCGATCACACACGAGATGCGTGACACTAGTGGGGAATATTTCCGCAAGGAAGAACCCTTTAAACAGTTATCGCACAGAGTAGCGGTTGGGACTCGTCCCCACCAGCACATCACGCAGTCTACCTCCGCACGCTTTCTCCCCAAAAAAACAAACAAAATCGGAGGAGGCGGAGAAACCGACGAAATAGAAAGAGGTAAAGTTTTGATTGCATGCAGGATTTCCTTCGGGTGGACCAGATCGCACGTGTACCTGTGTGGCAGGAGACGATTTTCCCTCAACACATCGAGCACCAATGAGTAAGACAAGACGGGCATGTGCTGTGCGTTCGAAACTTCGCGCGACCTGTCTGAAACTGACGCAGCTATTCTGGGGGTCCGTCCGCCCGTCCACACAAATGTACCTGGGTCTGCGTCCTCAGGGTCTGGTTGATAGCCACGCTGGACTCCTTCAGCCTCCCAGCCATGCTAGATATCTCCTGGGCGACCTGGTCCGCCTCAGCCTCGTCCGCGGCCCGCTCCCCCCCCCCCCCCCCCTTCCCGCCGCCAGGGCGCCGCCCGCCAAACACCCCGCCGGAATCATCTTGGCTGCTGTCTTTGGCGCCCCGGCGGCGCGACGAGCCTCGCGCCTCCCTCCTTCTGACGACGCGGTCACCATCTTCTTGGGGGACGAAAACAGCACCGCCGACAACGCCGCCAGTCCCAGTCGCTTGCTGCTGCTGCTGCGAAGGATCGGTTGCTGCGGAGTTCTTCGCTGAAGCGAGGGCGGCGGCGGCGGCCGCAGACGCGAGATCGTCTCGCTTGCGCCGCAAAATCTCGAGGCGTCGGTCGTAGTCGGCGAGATCCTCCGCGGTTGGGAGCGCTGGCGACAAGCCGGCGCCGGCTCCACGGGAAACCTCTGCCACCCTTGCTTGCAGCTGAGACTGGGTGCTGTCCAGCGATGTAATGAACTAAGGGTGGAGGAGTCAGCAAGCGGCGGCGGCGGAGACGAAGGGGGGTTCCATTAGAAGGAAATGAGAAGGAGCGCGGAGTTCTCTGTCCGTTTCAGCTGGGGTCTGAGATGGTCGCGATATCGACGCCTGTGTCACGGCAACAAGCTCGCCGGGAAGCAGCAATCGGTGGTGGTGCCCTTGTGTGTTTGCGTGGGTACATCGTGCGGAGTGTCTTTCGGATACAACTACTCCGTATGCGTAGAGCTGAGAGTTTTCGGAAAAATGTACTTGTATGTAGAGAGAAGCGTGTTTTGGTACGAAAACAACCCAAATCAAAGGCACTGCTGCTTTGCTACAATCGGCAGTACCTACTTGGTAAGCTGCACTCCATGCTCTTTCAGCTATCCTTTCGACCACAGCTGGGTCCCTACACAACCACTGCCCAACCCACCAAACAACAAAGCGGAAGTCCAAATCGGGACCAACGAAATACTCCGTACGCGACGGCCAGCGGGAGAGCGGAGAGGCCGCCGCAGCAGTACTGCAGCAAGAACATGTCTCGAACCATCGACAACCAGCCAACCCTGATCAAGTTTCGTGACGCTTCATGGCCTTGCGGCGGCAGCAGCAGCAGCAGCAGCAGTAGGGCGTTGTTCCAAAACGCGGACAGACCAAGAGCCTACCCGAGGGGGAACAGATTTTTTCTAGACCAGCAGCAGCAAGTGACCGACTGACCTGACAGAAGCGCGGCCAGTTCTCCCAGCTCCCACTCGCTGATGGCTCTCCAGCAGCAACGAGGCGCTCCGTGGCGCTCAGGAGCCTGACGAGTTCAACGTGGATCTCGTGCACAGACGGCATGTCCTGTATGGGAAGCCGGCGTCTGGTCTGGCCCGGTAGGTCAAGACAAGAAGGTGGTGTGGTCTGTCGCATGATGCGGAGGAACACAAAGTAGGGGGCGCGCGGACGCATATCTCCGGTTAGTAGGGGGGGGAGCTCCGCGAGTTCATCGTAACGGTCGTCAAGTGCGACGCTGAAAGGTTATCGGTTGACGCATGTTTGCGCCCTTGACAGAGGCGTCAAGGACAAGCCCCACACTAGAACTAGCGCGTATGGCCAGAGGGATGCCTTGACGGGGCGATGTCAACCGAATTTTTCTTTCCGAGAGGAGATGTTGTTGTTTCCAACGATCCGGATCCTTCGCGAGAGAAAGAGTGAATCAACCGAATCGAGGTTGCCGAGGATCGGGAAGAGCTAGGTTAGTGAAGAATCAGCGAAACGCAAAGTCAGCGGAGTTCTCGCACAACGCCAAAACATGGGGATCTCCCATGGTACAAAAAAGCCGCTATTTACGTAAAGACTTCAACACTTCGCGTGCACGGGGGTAATATAATGCATGGGGTAGACCTGCGTCGAGTTGCAGTGCATGTTTTATTAAGTTTCTCACGATAACGAACTCTCACGAATTCCCACACGTGATTCCACGCCACACGCGATTCACGCCCAGCAAACAGATGGGCGGGCCTGCGTGACCCTGCTGTTCCCCGGAAGAAACAAAACCCGACGACACTCGCCGCGGGTAGCGGACGACGCCAACCACTCAGAAAACAGAACCCCAACTGCGGGGTGACATGTACCGTCTCCGGTACGTGTGCAAGGCGTTGAGGCACGCCTGCTGTGAGCCGAGTCCTGGGGACTACGACAGCTGCAGCGACGACGACGGGAGCGTCCTTACCCGTGAGGATATCCGGCGCCCTAACTTGCAGAAGCTTGCCGGAGCTATCGCTACATCCCAGCCCCCTTCTGCAAAACATGATGCCGGTAAGGGTGGACGGGAGACCGACGGGGGGATCGCGGTTCATGTTCCTGAAAACGGTCCTCGGATGCAACGGGATTTGAGCGAAGATAGTACATCCAGGGAGAGGGAGAGCAGTTGCATCCCCTCTCCGGGCACGGGCGTGACCAGCACGACGTCACCGGCATCGGCAACAACTGGCGGTGACGTACCCGAGAGAAACGTGAGCGGGTTCACCGTGCAAAAAATATGAGCTTACATGTCGTTGAAAGTTTTCGTGCGTCTGCATCGTCAGCATGCGCATCAAGCTCCCTGGCTATCTTTGCAGCAGCAGAGAGGAGGAGGAGGAGGTGCTGGGCATATGTAGATCAGACGCGTTTGCCGTAAACGCCACCTCCACCACAACAACAAGTTACCTACAGACAGCAATGCTGCACATGGTTCCCGGATGCCCCCCATTCGTGGCTGCGCACGCGAATTAGGCATACATCCGCGTGAACGCCTACATATGCCCACGTTACACATCCCCCATGAGCGGTGGACTTGTTTTGTCGAGCATTCCTCTTACCCCCCTTCCTGCTAGCACCATCACTGCCAACAACCAGAGAACAAGACTCAACAACAAAAACACCTACGGCAAAACATCAGCATAACAACGACAGGAGTGTCACCCTGAACCACAAGTACGCCCCCGCCCCTCGCAGACTCCTTTTCCCGATACCGCAAGAGGAGGGAGCACCCCGGCTGGAGTGGTTTCTCGCGCCAGGCCTAGCAGACTGCCTCCAAGGACAACATCCAAGAAAAGGTGTGCCTTGACCGCTGTGGTATGTGTTGAGAAGCACGATGACCACTAGAATGCCACTCAGCGCTGACTAGTGGTCTATAATAGTGGTCATCGTGCTCTCAACAGTATGATTCGTCGATTTCGATGACGACACACGAAGGCCATTTTGGCAGTGTGCTTCATTGACCGCAGCGAAACTTGCGACCTCTCGTTGTTTGTATGTGTCGGACGAACCTCTAGTTGGTAAGCTCCTTGGTATGTGTTGCTAACGAAAGTGTGGAACACACAGAGAGAGAAAGAGGTAGAGAGAGGGAGAGATAGAGAGAGGGAGAGATTTCAGGCGTTGCATCTCTGTGCTTTAGTTTCACAGTATGAGGATGGTCGTGTACGTTTCTCTTGATTTGTAGCTCCGTGTCTCCTTGGGTGTCATTCAAACCAAGATTTTACGGAGCGTCAACTGTCCGTCTGCGGCACGGTTCTCTTGACGCTTTTTCCAGCGCTCGTACCGTCAAAGAGCATGTCGTTGGCAGTCGTGCGAAGGGCATCATTGTATTGCTCTGGAAGACTCGAGGTGTGTTGCACCGACGGGTTGATCGACATAGATTCACACGAAGCACATCACGTCGTCACACGAAATCGAAAGGCATCATGCACTACTCGTGAAAGCGGACCAAGATAAGAGCAATCTAGCCTTTTCGTGCACATACATGTGTGTTGCTCTTTTTCACGTTAAGCTACAGCGCCAATCGGCTGATTGGTGAAAAAAATGCCAGTCTCAGCCGTTTATGCCCGGTTTTTCACGTTCTCAGTCGCTGGACGGACGATGTGTTAGAAGGGTTCCTGTACTCGACGCTGGTGGACGGGAGCGGACTCGTCTTGGACAAGCTTGATTCCGACGGAAGCGGGAAGAAGAGCGGGGCGAGTGATTGAACTGAGGCCATCATCCGCTGACTCTCGTAAATGTAGTCTCTCTCTCTCCCACTCTCTCTCCCACTCTCTCTCCCTCTCTCTCTCTCTCTCTCTCTCTCCCTCTCCCTCTCTCAAAACGAAAGCTACACCGCCGCGAATATGTGTTCCTTTACAAGAGCACGGCTCCCGACTGATGAGTGAAGCCCACCAAAACCCTTGATCCAACGTTGCGCAAAAAACGGCAGGAACGGATCTTGTCGTATGACCCGGACCAGATGCGGCTGAACTGGATATCGACCGGCCTGCGACGCAAACCGGGGAGCATGCTGGCCAAGGTGACTGAAGATGAAGCAACTAGTAGGCGCGGTCGGTTCGCGAGAATAGATGCTGCCCTTCTAAGCACGAAGCCTGTTCGACTCTCTCCTTGTGCCCTTTGTCGGGATGGGTGTCTCGCCGCTCTCTTCAACACCATAACACCAACACCCAACAAGACCAAACAACGACAGTGTTGACGCATTTATACCTCAAATCTGTTCATTCTGCTGCAGGATATTGACGAGGTTACCTGCGAGGGCACGTCGGTGACAATAATCTACTCCGAGACCACCGTTACCGGCGCTCCGGTCCCCGTTCGGCGACGAAGCCTGTCCCCCTTTCGCCGTTTCTCTGCATCGTCGCCTGCCGGCCACGAGGGGGGGTGGGGGGGGAGCCACGCGTCGAAGCTCGGCCTAGATCGGCGGCGGAAGGTGTATTCCACCTCGCAGGAGCGGGACGCCCAGATCCTGAAGGAGCTGCTGCTGTTCGTGCGCCGGAAGGCTATCTCCAATTTCGCGGCGGCGGTGTCGAGGCTAGCGGCAAGCGCTAATTCTCCCGCTGCTTCCACCACGGGCGTGAATTCTGCAATTTGCCTCGTTGCCGAAAACGGAGGAAGTAATAATCTTACCGATACCGCTATCTTTGGTGGTGAGCGTGGGCGCGGAGGTCGGGACCCGGCGGGGGGCAATGCGAAGCCGAGCACTGGGGTGTTCACGAAGAGTAAAGGGAGGCGAAGGTCGGTCAAGTGAAACAAGTGTGTGCGCACAGCAGTCAGAGCCGCACGAAGAACAGTAACAACGGTGTGGCATGGAAGGAGTTATGTTGTACCGTGCGCGTACGAGGGGTTGGCATCGAGCCGACCCAACGCGCCGGGTAGAAAATACAGGATCGATGACCAACCTGGTACCGGTTCGTGTTAATTTTTGAATGGGTGGGGACTGTGTTGGTGGTTGCGTGATTTCACTACGCGATATCACAAAGTGTTATTGTTGTTGTGGTATGGAAATTGAGTGTTGATGGGTTTGTGGAAGGTAGTCAACGAGTAAAAGGCACCAGACGCAGAGAAACCAAGCGGTTTTCCGCTACACAACTGCGGCGACTTCTGCCTAACCCATCGAAAGACGTTTGATGGGACCGAGTGTTCTCGTTTTGAAGAAAACGACTCCCTGTGATTGTGGCTGATCGGAACGAAGGGGGGTGCTTGTTACCATCGAATGTATGGTAGCTGGAGGCGTTTTGGTTGGTGGCGGTGGCGATGCGTTGTTGGTCAAGTCTTTCTTGTAGAATGCGCCTGATCTTGAGCACAGCCGAGGGAGGAAGGGTCTGCGGGAGATCCCTTCACGCGATGACGTCAAGGTGTCCACACGGAGGATTAATAAAGCTAGCATCCTGTAGTTTTGGCAAGGCCTTCAGCGCGGTACAGGCGACATCAATATAGCTCGTTTGTAGTTGTAGTAGTAGTGTCGCTCGTTGACCTAGGGCAACATTTCTTGTGCTTGTCGCACATAACATAGTTTCAAAACAACTCTAAAGTGGCTCTCACGAGGAATTTCGAGCTCTGGCTCTCACGAGGACTGAGCGCAGTTCGCGATCGGGGCGTGGTGGGGAGGTTTGGTTTCCATGAGAATTTTTCGCTCTCGCTCATGTTTTCATGGTGCAATTCTTGGGTGTGGTCGTTTTATTTTTGCTCCCAGACATGTCACGTTCTTCCTTCTTGTGGCGTCACAGAAGGAAGGAGCGATTCGACTTCACGCAGCATTGTTGTTGTCTTCACATTAAACATATCGGTCCGGTCTCCGTTCAGTACCTTCTAATGTCCATACTGGTCCAACCGGCTCGGACGCCTTTCCGGGGCCACGTGTACGACGGAATTATTTGTTGAAGTTCTCGACATGGTGTTGTTGTTGTTGTTGTTGTTGTTGTTGTTGTTGTCTTCACATTAGTGTGCTGGGCCAATCAATCCTAACGTCACACTTGTTCCCCGTGCCCATCGGGTGGCTTGTCTGCCAGTCAGTCCAGTCCTTCCGGGAAGGAGCTCCAAACCCTGTCCCTTGTTGGGCAAAACCGCAGAAGAAGCAGCACGCACCGCACACAGACAGCGGATTTTCTCTGTGTGAACCGTGGATCGGTAGCCCCTTCTTCAGTTAGAGAACACCGTCGATGAATGTACGTCACAAGCAAGCATGGGACCTACCTGTGGCCAGTAAAGTGGCTCGGCGCTGACGCAAGCACGGGAAGACGTTTCCCCCCGAAAGTCGCTGTTGATTAAGCTGATTGGCAACGCAGCTTGGCCTCAGTCAACCGTACTAGGTCCTCAAAGAGGTTATCGTTACGCCTCGGCGGTTCGGCAAAAAAAAGTGCGTGGTCCCCGGAGCTTCTGACCTGAACGGCGTCAGACAGACTCACGTTTTACTACGGCGCTGTGAGACCTTTAGTGACCGTATTGGTCCCTTAAGAGGAATACCGTAAGGATGCGGGTCTCCGCACGGGGGCGTTAGAGTTTTTCAAAGCTTCACCGCTCGACAACTAGGAATGCAACACTGCCGAAAAGGGCGGTTTTGGAATTATCTCATCGAGGTCTTTACTTAGACGTGTTGGTTGGCCTTCGCACCCTCCTAGTTGCGGAGTAAGAAAGCTTTGAAAAATGCTAACACCCCTGTGCGGAGACCCACATCCTTACTGTAAACCTAGGCGGAATTTTCGCCGTGAACGGGTCGTGTGGGCATGAACGGAGCGCCACCTTCTACCACTTGAACCTTTGTCGTTGTCAAAAATTGCCGAACACTCCTCCTCAATTCACAATTCAAGGCCATGTTTTCTTGCGTTCTCAATATTCTAGGCGCCGTGGATGCACATACAACTTACGAGGAGCTACGGCTTGCCTGCCGTACTATCATCAGGTTCGGCCATGCCAAGGGTTCACACGCAGCAGCAGCAGCAGCAGCAGCAGTCAACAGTACCCGACGCGTGACGACAACTCGAAGGGTGGTCTTGCCTAGTAAGCGCCGCACCCTGGAATGTACGGCATCTACGATAAACAACCGGCCTAGACTGTAATTGCGGCGGGTCACAGTGCGGAACGCGAAGAAAACAGTCTACACTATGTAGAGTGAGTGGGTGTGGTGGTCTCTGCACAACCAATACGGAAACTCCTCGTCGCTCTCGAGGTCTCCTTGAACAATAAAAAAAAAATGGAAAACAAAGCCGGTGCGTGCTTCGGAAGAGCTTCGTCACGCCACCCACATCACTAATTACTTTACATGCCAACGTGTGACGAGATGGTATATCGATACTGCTGTTACGTGCTGCTGCTGGGGGGGCAAAGCACCGCAACAACGTGTCTGCTTTCGAGTCTTCCCCGCTTACAAACTCAACAAAGAACGAAGCCGCGGGGGGCCCGCGCACTGTACAAATGTGAACGCATACCACCCCCAAAACCAAGGCCGCGTGCTGCCTGCACACCGACCGAGCTATAGGTACAATGTACGGCTCGCTCTTCATGCCGTTCACCACATCAAAAAAAGAGCAAGAGAGGACAGACAAAACAACCAGATGTATGCTTAGTTGCTGCCGTTGATCACCCGTCACACACGCAATTCTCTTTTGTAACGCACCCGCCCAACTCACCTGTTGCCCTCTGAATCTACTGCCCCACAATACGCCCGAGAAAAGAAAAAAAAGGGCATACCCCGGCTTATGCAAGCGAAATATCTTTCGAGCATTCGTTTTGGGCGTCGACGACGGTGAACGAAACAACAACGGTCAAGGGGGGACATGCCTGCCTGCCAAGGCTAATGAAACCTCCTCGTCCCCGTACCCTCTCAACTATACAATTAACCTAAATTTTCGTACTTGGTGCTGAAATAATAGACACTCCCCGCGGACAAGACAAAACAAGAACATAATAAAACTACTTGTAACTCGCTCTAGGCGGGAGAGCGGGAGAGCTTTTCCGGTTTCTAAGCACCTGCGGTCCGCCGTCCCGACAGTCCCGTGGCGCCGGACCGTTTCGTTGCCTACCGTGGGTAAGCAGGGCTTGCACCGCTTCTTGGCTTCGCAAATTACCCAATCACCAATCACCAGACCCTTTGAAGGAGCCAGCCCGCTTCCAAGAACAAAGGTTGTCGGCCGATGGTTGTACCCCCCCCCCCCCGCGGGCGCGCATCATCCACCGCACCCCCTCGCTTCTCGTCCGCGCGAGGTCCCGAACACAAGCAAGACTTCAAGCGATTCCCCCGGCCGGCACTCGAAGCCCTCCCGCAATTCCAACGCGCACAGCAGAAATCTATTAGTCCGTGCCCGCCTCCGCCCTCTGCCTCTAGTCCAGCGCTCCTAGCCCCGGTGGGAGTATCCGCCGCCTGCACGAAAGGGGGCACGGAATCAATAAAAAAGGGACATAAAAAAAAAAGGCTTTAATTATCCGTGAACACAGACATAAGGAGTGTCACATGAGAGTCCAAGACATGGGATCCCGTGTATCATCCAAGCCATAAATCCACACCCTAAATTATATCCATACCACGGCGACCCGAGTCTCCGTAGACCTTCTTACAAGTGACAAACCATTGGCCAAAGTCAACAGGCAACCCCACCAGCATACACGGGACGCACGTTCGGTGGGGGTCGTACATACATGTGGTGTGGCCGAAGCTACAACAACAGAACGACACACTTGAGACTGGCGTCTCTCCATTTGGCCAGCCGGCTATATGACGCGGTCGATGCTAACAAAGTGCAGCACTCGCTTCGTACTGTACGTTTACGGGGGCGGGCGACGACTTTTGCCTTTTGGCGCGATAAGCTCGTCGTGTATGCTCGCTCGCTCGCGCTCTCGAAAAAAATGCAAAAGGGCGGCGGCACGTTGTTCCGTGACCGGGCGGGCCCATCCCCCCCCCCCCCCTGCCCTCCACCGTCTGCGTACCACAGCAACCGGAGACGGGGACGGTCGATCGAGCAGGGGATCCCGCGGGCCCCCCTCGCGCGAAAAAAAAAAAAAAGAGGCGAGGGGTGCCAGGGTGGGAGTCACCGCTGTCCGCCTGGCAAGCGGTCCCCTTTTCTCTCCCTCTTCCCACCGTTTCGGAAAGACGCTTAACAACGAAAGCCTTGTTCTCTGGCTCTGTGGCAAAGGGTCTTTTAACTCCCCCGCCGACTACGTCGAGGCAAGCACCGCAGGAGGGGTGGGTGGAGGGAGAGCAACCCTTCAGCGTGAACACGGGTTGGAGCCCATGCCGGCAGAAATGCCAACGCTGTGAGCTGTCAGGACTGATCGGAAGTGACGAAAAGAAAAAAAAAACTACAACTCTGCCGCTACCAACAACAACAACGGTTCGTGCACCTATCGCCTCTCATCACCTTCGTAGTCGCCATCCATCCCGTCGTCATCTTCCTCGACATCGCCCATCACCTTGGGGGTCGAGGCCAGAAAAAAAGAAAAAAAAATGGGAACAGGATCATGGTTACGGGGTTAGGGCTACAATTAGAAAAAAAAAAAAAGGTCCGCGCGTGCTCGCCAGCGCTCGCATCGACCAAAAAAATGGTTGCTTGCCCGCAGCTCTCACTAATACATAAAATAATACTGAAAATAGAGTGGAGGAAAAGTTAGTGTATCTAAATCGCGAAGAATATCGCCTACGGGGTACAGGCCTGCCACCGCTACCATCATGATCACCACTCCATAAACAATCACCTTCCGCTTTCTGGCCCGTCCGCTCTTCCGCCTGTCCGCCTCAACAACAGCGGCCCTTCCTCTCCCCCTCCCCCTGCCCCTCCCTCTCCCCGCGCCTCTTCCGACTGACCTCCGGAGAGGAAGAACACCCTCGGCACGGCCGGGGGGACACGCCTCCTCAGAGT